TAAAAATTTGAGGCTCTTCAGATTACGAATAAAATACACATCCATATGTATATGTGTTTATACCGTAAATATCATCATTAGAGTTTAATAACCTGAAACTCAAAAATTAATATATTAATAATTTAAATAAAAATGGTAATACTTAATAGTTAAATTAATGCGAACATTGCGGACGAATCCTTGAAGAGTGCCGGTATATCAATCGGAATTTCGGAGGAAGCAATTCGCATTAAATATGTCAGCGATGAGTCTGCTATTAATGCTCGTTTCAAAAATTTAATGTATTTCATGGATGAAAATGCACTTTCACACATATACGTTGAACCGAACATAGAACAAATTTTGAGGCCAAGATTTCTAAGTTTTGGATATTTACTTTCGGGTAAAAGTTTAAAAAACTCTAACCCGATTTCGCCACGACTTATAACAAATTGATCTGCTTGTACATCGCACAATTCAATTCGGTATTCGAAATTTTGATTCGGAATATGAATTTTCATGGGATTGTTGAAGATAGCAAGATCCCCTTTTAATAAGTCAAAATCTTTGAAGCGAGTATCAAATTCATCAACTACACTACGCAATGTAGATGCAAACATGCTAAATTCTGCATCTGAATCTGAAAGATCATCTTTCAGTTCCTCGCAACTAGGAAAATTATATAATTCGTTTCTGGAAATTTCAGTAACAAACGAATCAAACCGTTTGCCGTGAGCATTTATGCAACTGATCATATCAGAAACCGTTTGATCGCGTTTTTGAAGTTTTAAATTTGGAACGTTAAGATGATCAGTTACGTCCGTGATAAAAGCTAATTCTTTCAAAAACATTTGGTCTTTAAATTTTGACTGCATTTCGGCTGAATTTTTTACTTCCTTTTCTAAAAAAAATTGGAATTTCTTTCCGAAGAGAAAAAAAACGTTGCAGGGTTTTTCCTGCACTGAGCCACCGAATTTCCGAATATAAATTTATGTCGCCGTATGTGGCATTTATTTCTTCCAGAAACGATTGAAATTTGCAGTGGGAAAGGGCTTTATTGCCATCACGAATCATATTTATGATTTTGGTGACTGTCTTCATTGTTGAAGACAGTTTTATTACTTTCCCACACAAATTTTCTTGGTGTATAATGCAATGTAGCATATTGCATTTTACACCATTTTCCTTAAGGATTGCTCTTAATCCTTGCTTAGTACGGATCATTGCTGGTGCTCCATCCGATACAATAGCTGAACACTTGTCAAAATTACCAATAAATTC